CCTCACAAGGCAGCAGGGATGAAGCTAGATTGATCACGGACAACCTGCTTACGACGTGACAAAACTTTAATATGGAAGCATGCGCGATGTGCATATAGATGAACTAAAAATCGGTCATGTAATTCCAGAACACACAGTTGGCATATCCAATCGTGAACCCTCTCTTACGGTCACATGCACACAATGAATACCCCACACAAAATCAGCATACAGCATCTACACAGTGGTCTACAGCATCTACACAGTGGTTAAGAGGTCTACAGCATCTACACAGTGGTTAAGAGGTCTACAGTATCTACACAGTGGTTAAGAGGTCTACAGCATCTATGTACACAGTGCTAAAAGAGGTCTACAGCATCTACACAGTGCTAAAGAGGTCTACAGCATCTACACAGTGCTAAAGAGGTCTACAGCATCTACACAGTGCTAAAGAGGTCTACAGCATCTACACAGTGCTAAAGAGGTCTACAGCATCTACACAGTGGTTAAGAGGTCTACAGCATCTACACAGTGCTAAAAAGGTCTACAACATCTACACAGTGGTTAAGAGGTCTACAGCATCTACACAGTGGTTAAGAGGTCTACAGCATCTACACAGTGGTTAAGAGGTCTACAGAATCTACACAGTGCTAAAAAGGTCTACAACATCTACACAGTGGTTAAGAGGTCTACAGCATCTACACAGTGCTAAAGAGGTCTACAGCATCTACACAGTGGTTAAGAGGTCTACAGCATCTACACAGTGCTAAAAAGGTTTACAACATCTACACAGTGGTTAAGAGGTCTACAGCATCTACACAGTGGTTAAGAGGTCTACAGCATCTACACAGTGGTAAAGAGGTCTACAGCATCTACACAGTGGTTAAGAGGTCTACAGCATCTACACAGTGCTAAATAGATCTACAGCATCTACACAGTGGTAAAAAGGTCTACAGCATCTACACTGTGGTTAAGAGGTCTACAGCATCTACACAGTGCTAAATAGATCTACAGCATCTACACAGTGGTTAAGAGGTCTACAGCATCTACACAGTGCTAAAAAGGTCTACAGCATCTACACAGTGGTTAAGAGGTCTACAGCATCTACACAGTGGTTAAAGAAATCTACAGCATCTACACAGTGGTTAAGAGGTCTACAGCATCTACACAATGCTAAAGAGGTCTACAGCATCTGGTTTCCGGTCAACTTGGACCCAAATCAACTAAACTCATGCCAACTCGGACCCACGCCAACTCGGGCCCACGCAAACTCGGACCCACTACCAATTCAGACCACTACCAATTCGGACCCACGACCAACTCGGAACCACTACCAACTCGGAACCACTACCATCTCGGACCCAAGCACGACCAACTCTGACCCAACAATGATTCAATCATTAGTTTCAGGGATTATAGGTCATCTCACAGTGTTTGATGTATTCTGTAATATATTTGGCATTTATCGTTTTCTTTTGCTGTCGCTGAGCGGTACTTTATGATGTGTACGGAAGTTGTTGCTAAACGCTTATCGTTTTGAGCGTCATGAAACTCAACGTGCTTAGCTTTTCGAAACCGTGACTTAACCATGGCGGGAATATCTGTATATGAAGCTAAACCAAGAGATGTGTACATGTACATGTAAAGCAGGTTAGGCCCAAAGATTAGGCCTACCATATATCATTTTGTACAGGTTGGTACGGTATATGTTTTAAGGAGCGTCCCGCCAAAGTTGAAATTAATTAGTTGATTACTTGTCATGGGCTGTTTTTGTTGTGTGATGATTCATTGTAAAGCTCATTACTAAAAATTATCAACTTAATTTGAAAATGTTTGTTCAAGGTGCTACACCCAACAAAACATGTACAGTCGAGTCTCGTTATAACAAACTCGTTAGGACCTAGCCAAATTGTTTGTTATATCAGAATTTTGTATTAAGAGGAACATCAGTCCCATTCATTGTGCACATAAATGCACAGTCGGGACCAAGGCTTTATGTTTGTTATAACCAGAATTTTGTATAAACAGAGTTTGTACTAACGACTGTATGTATACACCAACTTTAAATCCCTTTAAAGCCTGGCTCCTTACAATTAATGGTAACCTTAGGCCTGTTGAAGCAAAACATTATGTAACTGTAATCGATTAAGAGCACAAAATCATATTTTTCGTTGTGACTGTTGGTCCGCCATGTTGGGGTATTTAATTTTGACTAGGCGTTTGTAATTAAGTTCGATGTTTGAAGACACTGCCGCGCTTATGCCATGCTAACGTAACACTAAATCAATTTTATTCGACACGGCATAAGCACATTTGAAGGAAGGCCTTACCAAATTGTTTATATTTTTGATCTGTGATGAACGGTAACCTGCCCGCATCCAATTACAGATGTGCACAATGTAGACCTACATATCTTTGATATACGATCACTACGACGAACAGTAACCTACACATTTGTTGTTATTTTCAGGATGTAAAACAAATGGTAACCGAATGGTATTTTTTATGTACTACGAGGCAGTGAACGTGTTTCAGTGAGGTCAGAGGATGTTTTTCATTTGAAATAACTATTTAGGCAAAAAAGTAATTGATTATTTTTTTTATTCCCATGCTTATACTTTGATTTTTGTTCTTTTAACGGATTTGTTTAACTTTTTATACTTTTTTGATTTAATTTTTTATATAGATTCATATGGAACTTTCGTTTTTCTTATAAAGTGTATGCAATGGTGTTGATGTATCTTTTAAATCAAACATTTTTATTTTTTTCATATTTTTTTGGCACTTGGAAAAATTTTTGGCTCGTTTCGTTTATACAAACTGTATGGTAGTTTTATAGTTATTTATATTATTTTTTACCCATCTAGGCTGTTAATTTCATATTCAAAATATGCTGACTTTTTGTGGGTGTTTTGAAGTTGGTTATCGTTTAGATCCGTGAATGGTTTATATCTTATATTTTATTTATTGACTTTAGTTTTATCCAGTAGTATATACAAATGAATAATGTTTTGTTTGAAAGTGTTTATATTTCAACGTTCATGCTTTCCAATTTTATTTTTCTATGAAGATCTGTGCTGGATGTGTTAATTTCGTTACGTATAAAGTTTGGATAAAAAATGAAATAACATGAGAAAAATGGCATGAACGATATCACTTAACATGTGTTAATTAAAAAAAAAAATAATAATAAAATACACTTTTAGTAAAAGTTTTACTAGAGTTATCGCATTACAATTACAATGAAAAATTATACTTAACAGCATCACTGTAACACATGTAACTTAAACTGAATGGGGAATGTTTGAAAACGTGCATAATGAGTCTGAGTTGGTTGTGGGTCCGATTTGGTAGTGGGTCCGAATTGGCATGGGTCCGAGTTGGCTTGGGTCCGATACGTACACAGTACACAGTGCCTAAAGAGATGCTGTAGACCCCTTGAGCATTGTGTAGATAGTGTAGACCTCTTTTAGCACTGTGTACATAGATGCTGTAGACCTCTTTAGCACTGTGTAGATGCTGTAGACCCCTTAACCACTGTGTAGATGCTGTAGACCTCTTAACCACTGTGTAGATGCTGTAGACCTTTTTAGCACTGTGTAGATGCTGTAGACCTATTAACCACTGTGTAGATGCTGTAGACCTCTTTTAGCACTGTGTAGATAGTGTAGACCTTTTTACCACTGTGTAGATGCTGTAGACCTCTTAACCACTGTGTAGATGCTGTAGACCTCTTAACCACTGTGTAGATGCTGTAGACCTCTTAACCACTGTGTAGATGATGTAGACCTCCTTAGCACTGTGTCGATGCTGTAGACATCAAAGCTTTGGCACTTTGGCGGAAACTAGTTCCAATTAATATTATATTGAGGGATGTTTCGGGTGCTCAGTAGTGTGTAGTGTGTAGTGTATCTACACGACGTGCGGTCTGTGAAAAGTGTGTAGCGTGTAGTGTATACTACATGACGTGCGGTCTGTGAACCTGGTCTCAAATGTTGCATCATATGCACACTAGTGGGGCTAGTTTGAAACACAATCCCCTAGAACTAGAACACGTACGATCACTTGTTGCAATGATCAATATCTGGACGTATTTAAAGTATCCATTGAAAATGTTGAAATAAAGAGAATTTAAATATTCATAATGACGTATTGCACTTCCAGACACTTCAGTCACTAGGCCTACATGTATATGACCGGTTACCTCCAATTTAGTTCTGCACCACGTGTGCATCCAAAATGTGCTCTAAAAAAAACCCATATTTTTCCTAAAATAATTTCACATTGCCGGAGCTCATCTTGGGTGAAATTTTAAAAAAAAAATGAAAAAAAAAATGATAAGATAAGAGCTGGGTTTTCCAAGCCAAGTCTGCAGTGTGTGCACACAGTATGCAAGATGCACAGTACCGGGATTCACAGCACTAAAAACACAACTGTCTGTCACTTTAGTGTCACTGTCACTAGTCAGTCAGTCAGATCAGATATGCCAGACATCGAGCCTCGAGGGCAGGCTGCGACATCGGACATCGACACACTTAGCCCCATATATGTGGCCTATTTACTGGACTGCCTCCGTAAACATAGGCCACACATCCACATGTACAAAAACGGGTCGCACTTTGCCAAATTTAGATTTTCACATTTAGCTTAGTTTGTAGGATTTTTTTTTGCTTTAGAAGAATACTCACCCTCTTTATAGGCTAGTCAGAAAGTGCTGCCTTTTTCAGATGTCTAATTTTTGTGAAATTTCATGTTGAAATTTTGATACGCAAACGTGTAAAAATGAATCTGAAAATTTCACGAAAAATATACATCTGAAAAAGGCAGCACTTTCTGATTAGCCAATAAAGAGGGTGAGTATGCTTCTAAAGCAAAAAAATCCTACAAACTAAGCCTTAATGCGAAAATCTAAATTTGGCAAAGTGCGACCCGTTTTTGTACATGTGGATGTGTGGCCTAGGCTATGTTTACGGAGGCAGTCCAGTAAATAGGCCACATTTATGGGGCTACGACACACTAACCTTCCATCCCGGATGCGCAAGTGACACCAAATCCGCCATCGTTAAGTCTCTGTTCAGATCAATCTCAAAGCTTCGCTTCTTGTCGATCATGTACATGTAGAAACCGTTCTGCTTCCTATTCTTCTTTTTGGGAGGCATTGTGGCATAAAAACTTAGTTTTACAATGATTTAGATGTCAACTTTGACAGAAACGTCACATTCACAAGACACAAGTGTACTACCGGTAGCATGTAGTATCGTTTGCGTGGGCCCGATGTGGCGTTGAACGGTATAGTCTGGCACCCGACTTTTGTAAGTATAAAAGTAGGCTTTCTAAGATGGGTTCCATACTGATGAATATCAGCAAACTACGGATGACAAAAAAGAACATCTCAGCAGGTGACTCTTTATAGAAACACGAAACTTAATGGTGCAAGCCTACACTTGTAGGAAGTGGCGTGCGCTTGCTCTCTCTCTACTCGGGACACTTAAAGAATCTCATTTTCTAGACGGGAATTTCAAAGGATGTCCACAATGTAAAAAGCAATTTCTTTTTTGGCTTTGTGAATTCTGAGCGGGAGTATGGGGTGTGGGGTGTCACAGCGGCCTCGAAAGTGGGTCGGGGGTGTGCCCCCATGATGGGAAAACAACATAACACAGATTTCAAATGAGCAACCGCTGAGGTTCAGAGGCTGACAATGTGTCCGCGGATAGCCGAGGTAAAGGAGGGTTAGGCCCCCCCCCCAAAAAAAACCCCCAAAAATACTCGGTCTCTGGTCAGCGCGCGCGTCGATTTTAATCATGCGCGTCAACCTTTTTTCTTCTTCAAATTAACACGGAAGCTACAACAGCGCCCTCTATTGCCGCACCTCCTCAAACTTTTGCACCAAGGAGCACCAAGGATTGGGGAAATGGCACCAAGGCAAATGATATAGGGCACCAAGGCAAATTATGGAGGACACCAATGTATAATGAGGACACAAAAAAGCAAAATAGTACCCACCTTGTCTGTACAATTCAAGCTTGAAAACAAAAAAGCCACCAACCAATAGAACTTCGGTCTGACCAGAGACCGATTTTTTTTTTTTGGCCTTACACCTGCAACAATGGGCGTCGCCAGGATGGGGGTGGGGCACTGAAGGGGGGGGGGGAATGGGGGCCATATGGCTCCCTATAAAACGAACTCATTTTTCTTTTGTAGGTGACGTCGCAATAAACAGGCACTGCGATCATCACCATCTTTTCCTCAAAACAAATTTGGTTAAAGTGGCCAGAAATTGCCTCATGGGCGTCGCGCCAAGGGGGCGCCCCCCCCCCGAAGGAAAAAACCCCTGAGAATAAAAGGGGGAGAAAAATAGGCACGTGAGTCATATTGCTGTTAATAAGTGGGGGATGGAGGGGGGCAAATGTCCCTGCCCACCCTCGAAAAATGATAAATCGAGAATATGCTGGAAAAATACAGGGATTTCGGGGGAAAAGGTGCTTTGCCCCCCCCCCCCCCCGCCCTAGAAACAATCCTGGCGACGTCCATGGCCTCATGCAGATCGCACCACAAAGCATCTAGAATTCAACACCAAAGCCACCCCTATTGGAAAATCCTTGATCCACCGCTGCGACAGCTATAAACAAGCAGTATGTTTTGAAATATGATGGATGGGATGGAGCTGTGGAAGATGCATTGCCGACCTCGCGTGGTTTACTTCCATAGCAACACCGACTTGGCCCAAAACCTGAGCTTCGGTACAGGGCATTGCGCCAACCGGAAAAGTATTTGCCAACCTATCCGGCACACATCCTGCGTGTGATTTAATAACATGATTAACCCTTAATAAGATATCCTGGTTTGATGTATGGGAGCTAGTGGGGGTAATCCCAAACGCGGGGTATCATAGCCCGAAAACTTTCATATCTTTCTTTAGCCAGCAGGGAAAAGGTGCCTCTTAATGCATTACTTCAATGCGAACTTGTGCTTGTGCACTGACTTCAATGAGATGTACATCACGATGGTTAATTTTTTTTTCTCTCTTTTCAACGGAAGCCCGATCGTGCCAGGTTCAAAAACTGGAAAATCTTTTTAAATAATGCAATATTATATTGCGAAATAACTCAATATACTTTTATGTACAAACTACACACCGGGTGTTCAGTTTGTTGGCCCGAATTAAATGGAGTAATTAATTTTTCATTGTCTAAGTGAATTTCCGTCATTTCGATTCGTCAGTTGCGCTTATGTTATTTTGGCCTTATTTATAGCGGGGGGGGGGGGGGTGTTGGGAAAAAAAGTAGTTTGATCTTTTCAGATTTTAACGATTTGATGTTCAGGAAACGTTGACATTTAGAGGACACTTCTATGACATTTATTCCGGGGGGGGGCTAAAGGAATTTAAGGTTTTAAAAAAAAAATCTTTCCACAAAATGGGCATAAATCACGAACACACTGACGGAAAGGAACTCCGCTTTGTAGCTCCATTGAAGGAACCCCACAGAAGAATGAGAATAATCACTTGACTATAGGATGCATATCACAGTGCAGAGCAAGCTGTACTGATGGTTTGATCTTTGATCTATCTTGTGAAAGCGCTTTATAAACACTTTTATTATTATTATTATTGTTGTTGTTGTTGTTGTTTGTTTGTTGTTGTTGGTGGTGGTGGTTGTTGTTGTTGTTGTTGTTGTTGTTGTTTTTCTTATTTTTTATTATTCTTATTACTGATTGATATTTTTTTAGATATAATTTTTTTTGGGCGTCAGTTGTACGCTCAATATTCCACCACGATAAAGAAAACTACTAAATTCAAGCTTATTTCAATTACATACGAAATATTTCCCAACCTTTAGGATTTCCTCCTCCAATTTCAACCCCGCCCCCCCCCAAAAAAAACTACATCTATAACAAGTCAATTCAATTTGATTTGGAAATAAAGAAAAGTTGGCCTGAATTGCATCAAGAATCACTCTTGAAACTATATTTTATCTGAATTAGCGAAGATTGGGCCATTATTATAGGCTGGAAAAAAATCCCAATAAACTGGAGAGAAAATCCAAATGTTTCTTAGGTTTCACGAAATATCATTCGTTAAACAATCTAGATTCATTGTTTTAGGCCTTTGATCCCTCTGTCTTTTTTTTTTACCTCAACATCCGTCGCCAACCCCCTTCAAAAATCCAGGATCCAACATGCCGCACCCGGCGGTTAGGCTTTTACACCGCGAAAACTTTATCGAATGCCGTGCTAGCCTGATAATTTGCCGTACTAGGCCAGTATTAAGGCCAATGCCTACAGACACAATGCATTCCTTTAAGGTATTTGCAAAATTGCGGACTTTTATTTCGCAAAAACTATTGCGTCATTATATCGCAAGAATTACTACTGCGTTATTCCGCAATAAACAATATTTGTTTCTGCAAACCTGGCACGAATTAGCTTCTGTATATTCACGAACCTTATTAGGACACCCCCCCCCCCCCCAAGTCTCCGGTTTCTGATATGGAACTTGCCCTAAAAGTGGTGCGGCGACGCGTTTTCCCCCCCACTTTTTCCGTTGGGGCACAGAATTCAGAACAAAGTTGTCGGCTGATATTGCAGATGACGCTTCGATCCCCCTAAAACTCTCAAAAATATCCTTCAGAGTGGAGCTTGAGGTGACCTCAGTAAGGCCATAAGGCTTGAGAATTCTGCACCCACTTACGATCTCGACCTACACGAACATTCTTCGGGAAATTGGGATATAGGCAAGAGAAAAATCAGAGGAAACGGTAACGTCAGACCATACACGCAAAAATACAGCGACACCGACATCGTGCATCGATCTGCTGCCAGGCTGGTTATTAGTGTGCTCCTTTTTAATTGCGCTAATTAAAAAGCGTTTACAGGTTCCAGATACACGACCATCGCTCCCTGCAGTCTGGCTTCAAGATGCACAATTACAAAATTACAACACCGTCTGCAAATGGTGCCCGACTAAATTTAGTGTAAAATATATTGGAACCCGTGAGGCCACATAAAGCTTCGATCGTAATCCCCTCTAAAAACACGTTTGTACAGCAGCAGGATACCAGTCAAACCAGTGAAGTTGGCGGTTGTGAGACAACATCTTACATTGAAAAAAAAAACATTTCAAGTTTGCCGACGCGCATGGCTACGGCTAGTCTATGTGATAGACCCTGGCCCTGGCGAAGCTGACCGTGCATGGTCTATGCATGATACGTAAACAGATTCGGCGATTATGCAACTAGACTGCCGTGGAGAAACTGACAAATCAGCAGGCGCCTTCTATACGCGCGTAATGCGAGCTCCAAACGTGCGTAAACATCACGCCCACGATGAGTAGAATTTGTGTACAGGTTGTTGTATTACAAAAAAAAAGTGGCATCGAAATTGACCAATCACAATCTTAGTCCTGATTTCGGAATGAAATGACGTCACGCATGCTTAGTTTATCAGACGTTCTACCAGAGATGGGCTGCGTGGAGAACGGATGATACTCAACTAGGCTACGGCGATGCGTGCGCAGCGCAGACCAGAAACCGGAGATTTGATTTTGTTTTTGGCCTTAGCTTGTTAAAAAGCCAAAAGGGAAAGGTGTTTTGGATTTCCCCCACTCTCCCCTAACCCTTCAAGATCCTGGTTTCTCGTATGCTACTTCCCAAGGTCGAAAATTCTGATTTTCGCTTCCTTGGCATGGCTCCGACGAGGCTTCTAAACCCTATAAAAAGAGCCAGAATTCTTGCCTACGAAGCACACCGTTTTTTGATCATTTTTCGATATAGATCTACCTTGAGTTGAGAGCAGTTATCACCATGGGTCGTACTTTGTTAGTGTTTGCGTTTCTGGTGGTTGTGATTGGGATGGTGTGCGCAGTGCAGCAATGCGGCGACGGCTACACCCGACGCGGGTATTATGGCAACTGCTACAAAGTATCGCTTCATCGAGACTTGTGGATCCAGGCACGGGAAAGATGCAGACTTGAAGGAGGCTGGCTGGTCACTATCAGGAACGGAGTTGACCAGAACTGGGTCACCGACTTCTACCAAAGACACAGTCCTCGTCCGTGTTCTGATGGTTACTGGATTGGGTAAGTTTTATGATTGAAACAATATTTGCGTTCGCATGTGTAGTTTTGTTGGACTGTCACGTTCGTTGTAGGTAGGCATTCCACCCAGCGCCGTTCCCACCAAAAAGGTATTAGGTATAGGTACTTACATTCTTGCGAAATGGTAATCTTGATTTTTCCTATATGTACTCATACAGGGCGAATGATATCGGAAATGAGAAAAGCTGGGTATGGGATGAAAATGGAGATCCCGTTACTTACACCAACTGGCAGCCAGAGGAGCCAAACAACCACAACGGACGCGAGGATGCCGCTGAGGTACGCATGTCGGACAGCAAGTGGAACGACATGGATCATCTCACAGGAGACGAGCGTTGCTACATTTGTGAGAAGCCCCCGTCCTCCTGTTAAAAATCCAACTAAAGCCCCGGCGTATGAATAGCGATGTTTGTTCAAAGCTTCAATAATACAATTTTGATAGTAAATCATATGTTGTGCTGGTCTTGGCCCAAGACTAGCACAACTTTCTCGCACTAACGTCTTGGTCATTTTGTAGCAATGGGGGCACGGCCATTTTGTGTAAATTGAAACGTCCTTAAAGGTATATACGACATTTGCTTCTGCTGCAATTTTCAGAAATGGATAGACTTCGGGGTTAGTATTTTTTTAGCGAATATTGTTACACTGACCTGTGTTAAAGGTTTGAAAAAAAAAGCTGTCCTTGTCTGGTTCACTGACCCTGCTTCAGACGAAACGTGGTAACTTATACACGTCCGGGAATTGTGATTTCAGGGAACCAGACTTGCTGGCTTGCACCAGTTCACGGATGTGTAACCGATTGCAAACAAAATGCTCGTTTTCCAACGATGGTCGGCCGACAATCATTGGAAATTAAAAAAAACAAAAACACTTTTCTTGAAAATGACAGCACACCAAGTGCCATGATTTCAGAATGTAAGATACTGAAGTAAGGTATTTGATAATAATTTGATAAATTTGTTGGAATGTGGTGTTCAAGTGTTGTATATTACCTTTCATACTAAGATTATAAAAAAGTAAATTGGACACATTTTTAGCCGTATATGCTTGTGGCTGCACTTCAGTTGAACTCTTTCGATAATTATAATGTATAGATTTGTGATACATTTTTATAAGTGTCCGCTCTTTACTTAGGACGTCAACAATTTCGATTGCTAAATCGGGGGGGGGGGGGGGGGGGGCTCATGCCATATTTTCAATGGGGAGCGCCAATAAAATCCTAAAATCATTCACACTATATTAACTAATGCACCCTTGTCACGGCTATTTCTTCTTTAGGGGGAGACCGTTCGCACATCACAATCCTTCTTTTTGCTAATGTAATTTTTTTTTTACGGAATTTATTTTGGGGGGGCTAGACACAATTATTTTTTTTTGGGGGGGGGGGGGGCTACAGCCCCCCCCTGTAGAACCGCGCCTGGTACAGAGAGGCCACATAAAGCTTATTCTCGATCATAACCCCATCTAAAAACACTTACAAATTGTGCAGCAGCAGGATTCCAGTCAAACCAATGAGTTTGGCGGTTTTGAGACATCATCTTTTATTGAAAAAAAAAACCTTTTTCATTTTGCCGACGCGCATGGCTACGGCGACGCGCGCACATACCAGAAACCGGAGACTTTTTTTGGCCTAATGGAGTAAGTAACAAATATACCACTATGTAGCCACTATTTTATTCCCGGTCGACACTTTTTGCCGCCACAAAAAAGGGGGGAGCGGGGGACTAGACAGCATCTTAATGACGAGATGCTTTCCAATTCAGAGGACATTGGACACCATTGTACAACGGGGCATTATTTTTCATTGCAGCTTAGACACGACGCGTAGATGTTGGCTTCTTGGAAGGGGATTGCTTATGTGAGCACTGGGTGAGGGGGTTGCAGGGGAGGTTGTGAGATGGCTGTTGGTCTAACTTGTCTCCACTTGCAGTTTTCAGGCTCGAAGCAACATTCCAAATGCTGTGGCAAAGGGAGAGGTGGGATCTAGCAGGGTGGGGAGGACTCTCTAAATTCCAAACAGTGAAATTAGAGACTAGACGTTTTAGAGTGAAAATCACTCTCATTTTCATAGTCTGAAAAATGAACCACTTCAGTCGAAGCTTGAGTGAAACCTCGATCTTTACGATTGAAGGAATTCCACTCTAAAATGTGTAGTCCCTAGTTTCCGACCGTGGGAGTGAATCTTCATTCGAATGGAGTGAATTTTCACTCTTTAGAATTTAGAGAAGACAGGACACCCTTTGATTAATGGAATGTTCTTTAATTCATTGAATCTGGACACTACAGGGTGGATCAAAGAAAAAACCGACACCGAGATATTATTGCTAATTGGAATAGAATTAGGGCACATGTGAATCAAAGGGAGACATCCTCTGTTAGGGTTGAATCTCTTCTTTAAAATGACACCCTGATCATGTCATTACATTCACAGTTGACTGAGCAGTGACCGATTTTATGAAAAGGTCTATTTAGAGACTTGCGCCACTTTTCATGGTGAAATTTTTTTTCCCCACCTGCCTTGATTGGCAACCACAGCCTTTCACTCTGTGACAACTGACACAACAAAAAACACAATTGAAAAGTGGGGCAATATAGTCCCTTTCATAAAATTGGTCACTGCTCAGTCAACCGTGAATGTAATGGTGTCATGACCAGGGTGTCATTTTAAAGAGGGATTCAACCCTAATAGAAGATATCTCCCTTTGATTCACATGTGCCCTACTTCTGTTCCAATTAGCAATAATATCTGGGTTTCGTTTTTTTTTTATCCACCCTGTTTAGCACATTAGGGGGTATTGTTATTCATTGCGGTTTGGATTTATATCGACAAGGTGTGAGTTTACCGACAGGAACCATTTCTTCGTTAGTCATGCAGGCTATATTGTTGCGATAGGCAAGCACAACACAACGAAGAGCGGCTGGCAAAATCACACAAACAAAAGAAAGAAAAGGAAACAAAGTATGTTTTATGACCGCACGATCGCAGAACGGACCAACTTGGCTCCAAAAGGCGGAACAAACCCTGTGTTTTAATGACATCTTAGTTCCGGTATCAGAATGTTTGGAAGACTAAATTATATTAATAAAACTCACCTGTATCCCGAACAGTCGACTGAAACATTTACAGCTGAGCATTACAATGAGACCTGATGCTCAGGAACAGCTGTTATATTACAAATTCAAACAAGTCATTTTACAACCCTTTTAAAATGTTTATATTTAATTCCCAATTGAATTATTTGTTATGCAAACGACGATAATCCCATAAAGTGCACTAGTGAATAAGATGTTTGTAATATAAACCGGGCATTAATTATGTCCAGGCCGTGAATTTTTTTCTCCCAAACGACATCCGGATATGGGTGTACGCTATGACGTTTTGGACTTTACTTTTGTAAAAACATGAACAGAAAATATAAAATGAGAAACAAAAACCGAATTCGAACGTAATGAAATTCGGAATTTATTTCCCTTTTAAAACAAATCCTCCGATGCCTCTCGGGTTAGAGAAGAAAACAATTTCGGGTACAAAACGGTGATTCGAATCCGCAACCTCGCGGTGCAAAATCACGACCCTGTATCGACTGAGCTATATCGTACTGCTCTGCGAAACTTGGGGAAAAAATATACCTGCGTACGTATCAAAAAAGTGTCGCAGAGGGCGCTAAACAACCATGTATGCCGTATGCCCATGTACTTTGGGGGAAAAAAAATCGCGTCCGGGCCATAAAAAGTGTCGATTGGCTGGTTAAGGACTTGTTCCAATTCGCGATCATCGAATCGAGTCTCCATAACAATTCTTGACCCGATTCGTTAATTCCAATATCGTGCACCGCAGATTAAGAACATGCAGACAAAGATTTCGGCCTGCAGAGGGCGCTCTAACCATGTAATTAACATGGTACTGATGAGTATATAGTCACACGTACCTTTCCCATTGATTTAGTTTTTTTATTTAATTCAATACTTTTTTTCAGAAATGGAAATAATATATACAAATAAAAGGGATAATTCTTTACATGTCATGTAAAATCATATTACAATAGACGCATAATGCGGTAATGGACAGTAAATATCATCGTAAAAACTGGAGTATGGGGCTGTTTGAGCCGGTGAGCCTTAGCTTGTAAAGACCAGCCTGGTACACACACGATCTTAACACAGACATTAACAATAACCCAGAAAAAAAGAGGTACAATCAAAGACAAATTCCAAAAGAAGACAAAACAAAAACAAATACAAACACACAAGGGACCAGAAATAAGGATAATCTGATATAAGGAAAATCAGATCTGGGCGGGGGGTGGGGGAGGGTGAGTGGGGAGGGGGAGCGGTTGCACCCCCCCCCCCATTCAGCTTGTGACCAATCTTATGAAACTAGTAAATTGACCCAAAAAATATTAAACGGAATACTAAAATTCCTAAATGTATTATTGGATTACAATGCAGGATAAATCATCGTAGATTTTATGATTTTCCATGGCATGCCATGGACCCCCTACACGTCGGCACGCCTTAGACTCAACCCCCAGCTTATACTCCCCCTCGTTTCCTGAAAGCTAGTTTCCTGAAAGCTGGAGGAAGAGCGAAAAAGGGAACTGTCATAGTAGCCCCCCCCCCCCCCCTCAAATAAATAAATAAATTAATAAATAACTAAATTAAATTTTGTTTAAAAAAACAAATAATAGTAATTAAAGATCGAGGAATTGTGAGAGAAATAACGAAGCTGCGCACATTAGGATTTTCATCACATTTTCTTGAAGATTTTCCTTTAAGATATCAAAGTGACAAAGGGAGCCCCGGGAAAAAAAAAACATGTAATGATAAATGAAATAAAACAGATAACCGTATAGTGTCTGGCTATTACTCTTAATAATTTGGCTGTGTACTATAATATTCTTCATAACAGTACAGAGCGACCCTTTTCGGTAACTGTACGCACACTCTGAGTGCGGGAAAGACGTGTGTAGTAACATCTGTAAGTTCTAACAACCACTTAAATCTTTGCATTTTCCCCAGAGTACAGAGTACACATAGTTCACCCCCAGGTATAAATTGTGGCAAGTGGTGGCAATACCGTCTGCTGAGAAACGCTGCAGGGTCGGTACTATTTTTTTGTAGTGACTATTACGTTGGTTTTAATTACCCCGAAATTTGTTGGCCAATCAATTAAATATTTCACAAGTTCCTCACTCAAACATTGCCAAATATAGCGTTGAGAGTGAGCATGAATAATAAACATCCTGTTAACAAGACTAGTCAGCAAGCTAAACTAACGGCTGTTTGCAGTCCTCTGACCACTTTACAACCTAAATTTGATAGCAAATAGTTTAGCAGTTATTTTCCCCCCATTAAAACGTGTACTGCAAACGGTAGTACGGTCCTGCAACCATGCATAGACAATACCATGTAAATGATACACTAGGTGAGGCTTCCAGCCATTGCTTTTGCAATTAAAGCACAGGGCAAGGTTCCTAGCTCTATCGTATAAGTATAAGTTTTCAATGATTTTTCTCAACCTTTTAGTGCACCTGTCAACAGAAACAAGGAAGCCGTCATTTTGTGTACCATTCTGTTTAAATACCATAATGTAGGCAATTACTTTTTGTCTTATGAAGAAGTGCATGAAAGCTTTGAGCAGTAAGTGAAGAAACCTACAAGTCTACAAGTCTTCAACTGTCACAAAATATGTTCGCAATGCTCTGAATAGGATGTGCCTAAAGTGTTAGTTTAGTATCTTATATCGTTATTTACTATCTAATTTGGGCCATTATATTCTGGGCCTGCAGCGAGGGTTTCTCAGCAGACGGTATTGCCACCACTTGCCACAATTTATACCTGGGGGTGAACTATGAGTACTCTGTACTCTGGGGAAAATGCAAAGATTTAAGTGGTTGTTAGAACTTACAGATGTTACTACACACGTCTTTCCCGCACTCAGAGTGTGTGTACAGTACCGAAAAGGATCGCTCTGTTATGAAGAATATTATAGTACACAGCCAAATTATTAAGAGTAATAGCCAGACACTATACGGTAATTTAATTTATGTTCGCTTACCGTTTTACCAAAACACCGTTCTAAAGTGTTCTTATCCTTTAATTCAATTAAGTAATGACATTGATGGTTTTCAAATGCATTAATTGGTCTGAGTAAAATGTCCTTCGAAGGTGACGGTTTTAAAGCGATTTTTGTTTTGACTGGACTCATTGGGGCACTGAGGAAATCTGACCCCGCGCTACTCGAGGTCACCCAGTCTAAAACATTGCCAATTTCATCATCACGGCAGCGACAAGTGCCTTCAGATTTAGGTCAATGTAAGCTATGGTCTTAGCAGCCCCAGCTGCAGGTGTAGCCTCCGGCTTTACAGTGGTTAGCTCGGCAGTGACGTCACCTTCTGTCACCCTCAACACGAAATCGTTGGTATCCTGCAGGCCCTCCAGGGTCATATACACAGTGCCGATGGTGGAACCATCTCTGGTGTCATTCTGACTCGGTGCCTATAAATACAGATGATCAGAAGACAGTATTTTACGGACAATGGGATGGTTTTCCGGTGGTGATAGGTCCGTGCCCTACCCCTGTCAGTTCCTTGGTTCATTATGTCAAGCGGTTATTAGTTCCATGTTTACACATGAAAAGAGTCATGGAATGTTGTTTTCTCACTCACCTGTCTTCGGATACGGCCACCATCAGTATCTTGAGAGAATATCCGCTTGTCCACGAATACCTCAGGTCCGATGAAGACTTCTGCCCTTCCCTGGCCCTCTGTCGCTTCCAGACGGTAGTCATGAAGTGCCTCGTTCGGGTTGGGTGTGGTTGTGGACACGTACATGACCACGTTGCCTTCTGCAGCTGCGATGTCTAGGGTGACTCCTTCCTCAGTGATGGGCTGTGCCAAGAATTGCTTGTCTCCAAGACTGAGAGAATTGTTGAGTACTGGTACTCGGAGAGTGCTGGGAGCTGTTTAATATGCAGATCAAATAGAGGTTGATTATTCTTTAATAATTTATTTTGTTTTCTGGTGGAGGTTGGTTTGGTGATGGTCAATCTGGTTCGAAAGTGTGGCTTCTTTTCAACTTAAACCACGCCTACTGCACTCGTAGTGGGAATGGAACCAGCCTCGACTCCATGGGCGCGTGCGCGTTCCTTCACTAAGATCGCGCAAGGCATGATGGGAAACAACATGGCGCAGCAAGATCTCATATTCATGGGGACGAGATTGTAATGGAACACTGGAACCAGAAGAAGTGTAAAGTGGCGTGTTTAGCCAATAGGCGCTAAGAATCAGTGGTGCGTGCGCGTGAATGACGCAGTCACTTATTAACCGGATTAGGTTGAAGATGCCAGTGGTGGCGTTGGTGAATAAGCACGAGAACGAGGAAAATAATATGCAATATGATATGATGCATCAGATGCCTTTAACAGCAGTTGTTCCAGTGAACTTACCATTACATGTTTTGTCTTGAAGAGTGGCCATAATGTTGTCCATAGTGTTAAAACTACTGACGCGGAACACGTAGGTGTCATTTGGTTGGTTAGCAATGGCGTTAAGCTCGGCGTCATTCACATTATCGGTCACACCGATGGCAAAGATGGTGATTCCTCTCTGCCTAGCCCGGTCTGCCGGTACTGCCACGGCTGCAGGCCCGTCTTGTGAACGGCCATCCGTGATGACAACTGCTACTCGAGGTACCGCATTCATGTCCGCTCTGGCTCCGTTCGCGACTAGGAAGGCTTCACTTTCCACAGTTTCCAGTGCCTCGACTGTGTGTGTTTCCCCACCGGTGAAATAGATGTTTCCAATGGCTTCAATGAGTAGTGCTTTGTCGGTGTATTCGTTAAGGTTGAACTCGACTGTAACGTCAGTGGCATACTTGATGACACCGACTCGGGTCTTGTCGGCACCAATGTCAAACGAGTCAACGACACTCGCAACAAAGTTCTTGGTTATGTCAAAGTTAAGGGATGTCACACTCCATGAACTGTCCAAAACAAAGACAAGGTCTATGCCCTTGACGGAACATCCTTTGGAGAAAAATAAAATCCAGATAAATAAATCAAACAAATAACTTATCACCAGATTTCACCTAATGCTAAAACCAAAACCCCACAATACCTGAACCAGTCCGACTCAACCGCGCCGATCAACCAACCGACCGATGACCGAACTACTTAGACCTACCGAACGACCAATCGGCCGACCAGCCAACAGATCGTTTGTCTGGCCGATCGATGGAACAACGACCATTTGGAAAGTTGAAGTTCTTGATTCCCCAACCAACCCACTCCAATCAACCAACAAACCAACAAACAAATCGACAACCGACAAACAAACAATGATTTCAGTCTGTCCTAAATTTTGCGGATTTAATCCATTTCATATACATATAATACAACAAAATCTTAAGTTTTCTATGTCTAACCTTGTTCACTTTCAAGAATTTGGACCTTCCTGATGAAATTGTCCACCGTATCTGTCGGTTGATCATGGTATTCTTCTCTCCAAAGTATAGCCTGACCATTCAAATCCTGTATGAACAAAAAATATAACCGATTTTTTTCTTCTTAGGTATTAGTACCTCAATCTTTAGAATATATCGGATTATTTGTCATTGAAAGGTAATTATACAATTATATTCTAAACTCCTCACATTTTAATTAGCGATAGATTCCTGTCAATTAACAACACAGTCATTGCAGAGATCAGAAAGGTTTCTTCCCATGTCAGAACACAAACAAAACAAGCTATTAACCGAAACTGGACAAGGAAACAAGAACGGCTTTTATAAACCATGTTTTTTTTTACCTGTGGGATATCACGCCCCAAGCTAAGGAAATAGAGTCGAGCAGCGAGTGCCGAGTACAGTGGTCTACGGCCATCTTCCCACGTACTGGTGCTCCAGTTTATGCCAAGTTGGCCCTGAATGTCACTAAAGGTGAAAGCGTAACTCGGGTCGTTGTACAATGCCAAGGTTGCTTCATAGACAGAGCGATCCACTCTCCATATTCCGCCGTGATACGTCCGGTTGGAGTAGGTGATCGAGGACGTACCATCAGCAGTTTCAACCCAAGCGAGGCGCCGAAAGAACCTATGATTCGCACGCAGAGCCCTATTCAGACGATCGATGTTCAACCTGGTTGCTTCAACAACTGCCGTGCCGAATGTTTCGCGTTCAAGAGTTGCGTCTCTCTGGGAATGAGCCGGCTCAGAGAAGAGGACAGCAGTGCTGAACAGCACAAAGAGACCTGAGGAGAGAAATTGTGAAGATAGAGATGATTATGTGGGGTTAAGTGAGTATGACAGCAAGAAATATGTCCTTGTCAGTGGCGGTACGTTCAGGGGGGGGGGGGGGGGGTGGGGGGGGGGCGGTGGGCTTTAGCCCCCCCCCAAAAAAAACAATTCCATAAAAAAATGCACTAGCAAAATGTAAGAATTTGACGTACATGGGAACGTTCTCCCCCTAAATGAGAAGGGTGCATTTGTACACTTTTAGATAGTGTGCCTGATTGTAGAATTTTATCAGCGCTCCCCATTGAAAATATAGCAAAAGCCCCCCCCCCCCACCTCACCTCTCGCCCCCCCCCTCCCCGTATTGATTTTCAGAGGCCTAAGTGTCTGGAGAAAATAACCTGTCTACACATCAGCACGCCTCCCTGAAAAAAAGTTCTGGATCCAACTCGCTAGCCCCCCAAAATATTGGCTCTAGAACCGCGCCTGGTCCTTGTACCCATTCGCCATTCACAACAAAAGCACGGCTGCACTTTGAGCAGTTTCCATCTTTGAGCCAGTGGCGGAGCCAGACTCTATTGGGGGGGGGGGGGGGGGGGGAGCAATTGGGGGAAAGGAACCAATTTTTTTTTGGGGGGGGAATCGAAAATAATCAAGCCTTTGTACGCGCTCGCGTACCATTGTCAATGGTCCGGAAATAAGCCACTAGAACGACTTAGAGGTGTTGGCGTTTTTATGAATGAGAAATGTATCATACTGCAGAATGGTGTATGACAAGACTGTACAAATCGTCACCGACACCACGAAGTAACACCCATCTACATACCAGTAAAAACTAACAGTCGGAGAAAACGGCAACTAAAGTTGAACGCTTTCTAAAACAACACTTTGCGTCAAAACGACAGAGTATTTTCAGTTGGGTTTCTAGTTGTGGACACTTGATGAATTGAATTGATTAAATCTGCTGGTTTTCACTCGTTTGTGTATTAAATAAACAAGAAATAAGAGAAAAAAAATGAGTGTTAGTTCGTGAAACCGAAAAAGCTGCGAAACTGTAAATTTTCGTTTTCACGAAGTAACACTCTTCAATGTATTTAACACGAGGAAAGTGCAATTTCAGGTCAGCGCGCGCGCGCTCATACAACTTGTTACAAGAAGAGTGTTACTTCGTGAAAACGTTTTTGCTCACTTGTGAGCAGAGTGCGCGCCATGCATTGCAATGGAAAATGGAACTTGAGTGTTACTTCGTGAAAAAGAACATTGTCACTTTTGCGCAAAAGTTGCCATGGATACTTAGCGTAATTATTAAAGTAAAGCTTTTGAAGCTTTGAAACTTCGTGCAATGGTAGGCCTTGATGAATAATGTTTAAAAATCCAAAAAACTGAAAATCGAAAAAAATAGGCTTTAACACGGTAGAGTGTTACTTCGTGGTGTCGGTGACGAAATGTACAAACACGTTGGCTGCGCACTATGTACGGCCTTATAAATGCATGCGTGGCGTGTTTTAATGCCTTCATTGGCCCCAAATTGAATTAATCTTAGCAGCAAAGAAAATAAAACAAAATTAATCTACTTGTAGATAAAGTGTTCGTTCGGGGAAAACTGTGGGGAGGGGGGAGGGGGGGAGGAAACTGGGGGGGGGGGGGCAAGGACAAAACTTGGGAGGCAAATGCCCCCATGCCCCTGCCTCACTCGTAGCGCCGCCACTGCTTTGAGCATAAAGTAACGTCCATTGTTTGTTTCTAGTTTCTATGATGAAATAAATAAATGTGAACAAAACGCTAGTATCTTAGATGAATAATGATCCGAGGACTACACAGTTGTGGGCTCGTTTATCTGATTTTCTGTCGTTACTCATTTCGAAAATCACGCGTATTAACTGCACTTACCTCGAGTTAGCATCTTTTCGAACGTCTAAAACGTATTGCACGGAAAAACGGTAATCTTCTCACTTCAGAGTTCAAAAACAAAATGCTTCTTGCAAAATGAAGCGTTGACGATCGGGTTTGTTACCATGTAATGAACATGAAGTAATTTTCAGAGCACCTTTTATGTAGCGATATCAGACTAGATGAAAGTTCATGTTTAATCGAGAGGAAGCGGATGGTTTTGTTTGTAGCGTGCAGCATTCCGTGAATGTTTATTGTTGAAACAGAAACTGATGCAGGAATAACATGCAAATGTAATCACCGGTTGAAATTACCCAGAATATTCGTGCAAAGTTCCTCCCAATTCCTGCTTAAAACAGCACATGGAACTGCGGCCGATTTTAAGAAACTGCTCAATGTCCGTGACTTTACATATTATTGTACAACTTACGCAATCATTTTAGGCGGCGTAGGTTGTGGCGTAGCGACTGAATATGTATATTTTAATGACTAATCGTGATCGATGTGGAGCCTGTCATTGTCCGACTTATCAAGGTTGATACAATGAACTCACAACTTGTTTTTGAAGTAAATTAATTGCTATTTTGCCCATGACAAAACTTTTAGCGTTGCCACACGATTCCAAAGAAAGTCGGGCAAATGTATTTCCAAAATGGCGGACAGGATAATTCAACGACTGCTTTGTTATCAAACAAAAACAGTTCATAAAACAGTTTAAGTTTATTTTGTTTGTGTTAAAAAGTTTCGTAAAATCGATCGTAAGGTTATTGCTCAGCTGCGCGACAAATTCGTTGCTTAAAATGCCACTACATGCACTATACAACTATCGGCTGCGCAGCCGGTCAAAAGGCATTGGCGGATCCAGGTGGGGGAGGGGGGGGGGGGGCAACGGGGGGCACACCCCCCCCCCCCCCCAAGACCCGATTTATTTTTTCAATTTTTCCCCCCATTTTATTTTTATTTTTCGGAAATCGATTAAAACGTTGCGTATCTCCGGGCCCTTGCAGGCCATCAGCTACAATACCTTTTAGTTCAAATTTTTAAATGCGGCACTAGCGCACGATCCTATAATACTTAATCCCCTTCCCCTTATCAAAATAAACTACTCTAGCCCTCTCACCCCCTCCCCAAAAATTTTGTTCTGGATCCGCCCTTGTCACGAGGTTCCTCCAATTGGCTCTATAGCAGTCTAGCAATGTACTGTGGGTACGACAAATTAAAGTCTATTAGGTAAATCATAAATCCTACGTAAATCCTACGCATTTTAAGTGATGAAATTCGCAGGTACTGCAACCACACATTATTTTTTTAATTATAATTATGATGGAGTTTGCATCGGGGAGATGTAAATTTTATATTTGGTTTTTCTCTTCGCCGGCGGATTTGTAGAAGCAATGTAACCTCAAGTGTTGTCCGAGTGCATACCTTATGCATGGCGTGAGGTTCGCACTATTTCGCAGGGCTGCTGTTGACATAAACCCGTTGCACGTATTACAGAAGCCCGGTGTAGGCATATGGATATTGAGATCATGAGTCGACAAAATGTAGCCCCGTGGTTATGGTTTGAGACCGAGGACAGGAAGTGATTGAGGTTTTTCTGGTAATAAAAACAACGGTTCAGATTTCGCCGGAAGCAAACACAGGCGGTGCCAGTACATGGTGGGTCGCCGGTTCGAGGAACTGCAAGAGCCCATGCACATGTTGAAAGTGACGGTTTGTTTTTATCATCACCCACTTCAATAAACTGTAAACAGTCCCGTTTACAGCTGAATCACTGGCTCACTCACTAATAAATGTTTGACTTGCTTAAGCCCGCCGCACACTGAGAGCTTCGTGCCGTGCAAAAACTCATTGGAGGCCGTTTGCTCAGTACGTCGCTCGCAAAATATCACCGTGTGCGGTGAATTTATGCTGAGTTTTCTGCCTCGCGCGGCCGTGAGGCAAATATCTACCCTGTTTGATTTCTTTTGCCTCGCGAGGAGAAAAACTCAACGTGTGCGGTCACCCTGAGCTACGTGCTGAGCTTAAAAGATTTATTAGCCAATGAAAGCAAATACTCTGGACACGTGACTTCATGATATTGTTTTGCAATTTCTTCTAAAGCCTGCTGGCGTTTGTATCCATGTTTAAAATCACGCGACCGACAACAAGGATAATCTGACCACAACTCAACCAGCTAGTCCTCTAAAATAAAGTCGCTGACAAAGTCGCTGACACTTTCAAAGGGGACCTCCATCTTGAAATCACGTGACCAAAGTATGCGCTTTCATTGGCTTGTTACTGTTTTAGCTCAGCACGTATATAGCTCAGGTAGACCATACACGGTGAGTTTTTCGCCTCGCGAGGCGGAAAGACAGGATAGACATATTCCTCATGGCCTCGCGAGGCAGAAAAGTCAGCAAAAATCCACCGCACACGGGGATATGATTAACGGGCTCAATCCGGCCCATTGTGTAGGCCACATGCTTGAACAAACTTCCAGTGAATAGTTATTCTGAATCGCTTGAATCAAATTGTGTGCTTATTTGGACCAGCCTTTATAGACTTGCCTTGTCTTGTGTTTATGAAGGACCGAGACCTTTTCATGTCTCCCTAATGTCACAGCCCCCCTTTAGAGGCACCATTTTACTGTCGCAAGTAGGTTATATTTGTTGCGCGTGGTCTAATTAGTAAAAATACCGACATTCGTGGAAAAAGGACAAGGGAATATTGGGTTAGGGCACATTGTGTGCACAATTCTATGGGAATGTCTCCCAAATGACCCATTCTCGGTAATAATAATAATTATTATTATTTTTTTGCGCAATCCAAGTCTATCCCATTTGTGTGATTCCTTCAATTAGTGAAAATAAATAGTATATTCTTTTTCGATTTTGGCCTTCAAGTTCAGTTGAAGCATTTGTTCAAAATTCAGTGTTGCCATTTAAAAGTTTTGTTTTTAATAAATTTACCAAATAACGCTTTTTATTTTTTTTATTCAATATATTTCCTTAATTATCATTTTGGTCCACGGAGAATTTTATTATTGATTAAGCACTTCATAGAAAGTGGAATTCATATTTAGTTTGTCCCATTTTGAAACCATCTTCAGAATGTCTAATGAGTGACGTGATCATGCTTGAAATGGCTCCTTTCTTACTTTTCCTTTACATATGGCGAATGATGATAATGCCGCTCCATGGTAAATGTTTGTATCCATAAAATGAGCATGCGCAGTTGGTCGAGGTGAAACTGCTGGAAACGAGGAAGTATCAGTAGAAAATGTCGCAGTCATGCCTCACTATATATGTATAAGGATCGCCATGGGCATAAGTTCCAGAAGTTTACCCTAGATTAGAAACTCTCATTTCAAAAGCGTGGATGTTTACGACATGCCACACTGTCACGTACTCCATTGACCGATTTATCACGCCACGACCAATGACCAATGAAACCGTGACTCTTCGAGTCCCCTGACAAACCAGGGATGCTATAAAGAGTGACAGACCATTAGGACACTTTCAGTCTATTCAACTATCACGAGGCTAAGCAACATCGATCAGGATGGCTATGCGACATGCATTGATCCTTCTGGTCCTCGTCAGCATCGCCAGGGCGGATCTAGAATGCGGCCCGCTCTGGTCCCGCTTTGGGGATCACTGTTACCGGTTTTTCGGTCCTCCCAAGACATGGCAAAATGCTGAGGACCACTGCCGTAAGTTCTTTACCCGCTTCGGTCAGGGTCACCTGGCGTCCATCCACGGTGAAGCTGAGAACAACGTCTTGCTGGAGCTGTGGGAAAGCTCCTTGCCCTCGCTGGACGGGGTTGGTAGCCACGCCTGGTTGGGAGCCAACGACATCGACCACGAATCTCGCTTCGAGTGGACCGACGGGTCGCCCTTCAACTACGGGGCATGGCGGGACGGCGAACCGAGCAACAGTGGTAACGCAGAGCACTGTCTCAACTTCTTCAACTGGCAAGGCGCGATCGGATGGAATGATGCCAACTGCAGCCAGTACGAATTCCCGTACATTTGCAAGGTGTCCACCGCGGAGGAAAAAGACAACCAGTAAATCCATCATGCACGACCAATAAAGACCTCTTGATCTGTACGATCTTAGATTGTCCACACAATTCTTCGCTAATCACCAAACTTCTCGAGCCAGACTACCAGGTAGATGAGTATCATTACATCCCGAACTCTTCATGACTAGAAGCCCGTTGTGTTGTGTTGTGTAACCGTCCAAATACTGTGAATTACACAAGGATAGCAACTTTGTAACTCTCATTCTCCGTGTGCAAGGATAAGAACATTAAGGCAACACTGAACAGATTACAGAATAGAAACGTTTTTCGCCATACAGTTCTAACTCTTGGTATATCGAGTCGCTGTGAAACATATTGCTTCAAAACAATGGTAGTATAATTCCTCTAAATACAGGGTGAGTCAAAAGAAATCCACCTTGATTAATGATTTCCCCCCTTAAAAGCAAATATATTAAACTCACCAATGAAGCAAGTCGTAAAACGTGCATGTTCTTCCACTAATGAAAAACAAATATTGAAATTGATCCAAGGTTATGCAGGTTTTACTAAAAGAACACATTTTTACAGCAGTCCATGGAATATCATTTGAATTTGCAGCGAGAATGTGTGATCACAGGCAGGCAAAAATACAAATGAGATTCATGATAATTTGAGTCAAGACTGAAACATTAATTTTATTGTCAGATTTTGTGTTTTGTACATAAGGAACAAATCTTGTTTTTTTCTGTAATGATGATGATGATAATTTATGTCCTTTTTACATTGTAAGGTTTCGTTCGTTCATGGAGGTAGGAAAACCTCCATGCATGGTTCATTGTATTTAAAGGATATGCATCAATGCGAATAGGTAAACGAGCAGCGGTGATTGACAGCTGAATTTTGGGATATTCGATATAACTTGTGAATAGAGTACGCATATTACGTGAAATATTCACACAAAAAACTAGTCAAGAACATGTACTATATTCCTAGTAACTTCCTTTTTGATTCACCCTGTAGTTATATTAACGTGAATTATAGTCATGAGTTTTATAAACTTCATGAAAAGCTGTTATCTTCAATCACAGTTTGTGGTTGAACATTTCAGGACGGGATGTATCAGTTTCCTCAACATAAATGCACAGCGGATCAAAGATTAATCACCATGTAGTTTTTCATTCATTCCCCATGCAGACGAGGACCTGGGTTGGTTATAAGGAAATCCGGAGTTCTTGGTACAGTTTCAGGTTGAGAGGATGTTTATATTGTAGCGCAATGCATTTTATAGAGGGCGCACTTTAGTTCTTTACTGGTAGCCAGCGGGGTGCGCGTGCACACACCCAGGTTTATGGGGGCACCAGCCAATTAGCGCCAGTGTATATAAGCGGCCATGCGCTCAGCTTCGCCCTCTTTCTGCTGTGGCCGGAACCCGTGCGCGGTCTTAGGAAAAGTTGCACTGTTCTAATCTCCCACAATTAACCAATCACCAATCACCTATAGTCGCAGCGGAGGGAGCCTCGTACTTTGTGTGAGTGTAATTGATAAATGATTCCCGCATCATAATCCAGATAATTATGTAATCTCTGAGTTTGTAAGGGAAGTGATTGAGTATAAGATCACGTAGGCGAGGCGCCTGGGTAGGCGAATAAAATAATCTTCCGAAACACAGATCTGGTGTCAGGTCCCCATCCTTCCCCAGTCCCCCTAGTTAGTCCGCTTGGGTTGTGTGAGCGAGAGTGCGTGCGAGGGTGATCCTTTGGTAGTCTGCTGCGGGCCTGGCGGTAAATCTCCGCCGAAACGGATCTGCGTACCCGACCGTAGAGGCTAGGCCGTTCGCCGCTACTCGCCGGGGCAGTCGTCCGAGGCAGTACCGCTACAATATGAAGTCTAGTGCCATTTGTATTGCTTTGTTAAGATGAATATAAGAATATGCTGGTCCTCTTTTCCCCAAATTATTAGCTCGTAACTCAGTAACTCCTTCATATGTTATGATTAGCTTATTTTATAGATATTTTGTAATGCATCTGAAGATTGCATCGTAAGTAGATGCTGTTTAATTAAAAGCAAAAGTATCTGAAATGTTTTCTCACGGCTTTCTTTACTTCAGGATTAAAATCACAGCGGCGACACTTTTCAAACAATCATACAAATTTGTACTGACTTACCGTCGAGCTATATATGTCAAAGTTGTTATTATGATCTCAGGGTCCACTATAAAAAAATAAGTGGACTCTGAGATCGAGCAAGCTAACGAGTAAATCGACAACAGCGAGTGCCCTCCGTCGTTTTCTCACCAAAATTAAATAAATGAACCGAGATTTGAATATGCAATTTTTTTTAGTCAGCTCGCCGAGCGATCCCTTGGGCTGTTGAGGATATCAGCATAGTAGTCTGGTACCCCAGACCAAAATATTCTGACGATTTCTGACCAATCTTAGGTCAGGCAGCCGCCAATGTCGTGTGACCAAAATGGTAGGAATTCCTCCCGTTTCCGAAAATGTCCGAAGTTTACCGAAGCATTTCGTCGACACTCTCGGATTGCACCCGGGTATTTCCGGGTATAAAATAGGTTCCATGCTTATTAAAAAAAAATGACTTCATATATTCAGTGCTTGCATTAAAAAAAACATATGGAAATTCAACGACGACTTTGTTCATGAAGTATGCAGTCGGATCGTACCAGGGATGAGCTTTGCTGCGTCATGTACCATTTTGAATCTAACGACGGTTGTACCCAGAGGTATTCCAAAACTCGGCTTTGTCTCCATTTTGGCTTCGCCTGCTGTTTGGCTCCCTAACTTTAACCCTAAAAGGGCTGGGGCGTAATCCGTGCCCCCCTCAACTTCTGCGATAGCTTTGAAAACATTTTGTTCGCGACCCGAGCTGTTATGACTGTTTAGCCTCGAGCATTGGGCATATTTTGATACAAAAAAAACCCATAAAAATCGGACCACGGGTCCGATTTTTTTCAGGTGCAATTTCTCAGGTATGTTTATGATGAGTTGTCCTATGCATGTACCGAGTTTCAAATTTTTTCGTCACTCGATGGCCGAGATCTTAGGGGTGGGGGGGGGGGGCCCGGCTGAGAGCTGGTCAAAATAACCCGGCCCTTTTAGGGTTAAAGCTTTCAGGTCAACATCAGTCAATGTTTTCTTGCAGAAATATCAACCTGTGTGATATATCCGAAGCAAGTCATCGAATATATTGGTCGATACATTATAATCTTTTGATGATAAAGCCCAACTGAAAACGAAGCGGAGCTTCTAGGGCCATTATGTTTACTTTTAGGGGTACAGCCAAGATAATAGGCCAAAAACACTTTAAAACACAATTTTATCCTATATTAGAGAGTTCTGAGAGCCATGGAATTGGGGATTTGAAGACATAATGGCACTACACCTCTGGCCTGAACTTGGGCTTCCAATTCTGAGCATATTGAATGCAATTGGGTCCAAAAGTGGCGCTATGTAGCCATGTTGTGGAGGGATCCTTTTTCAAAATGGCTACTTTTCTAGGGGTGGTCTTCTTTGGGTGAGAATTTTTCCAAAAAAGTCAATGGTCAACCCAACAAAAATTGAAAAGAAAGTGAAAGATGACATGTTGATCATCATTTGTCTGTGCAGCCTGAACACATGTGAGAGTTCTGAGTATTTTAAAATAATTTTGAAGTGTGGGGATTTAACACTGGTGTCTACATGTATTGGAATTTTTAAACTTGGGTGCACCCTTAGCCGTGGCGGTAACATGACCTACAATAAGACATCATAGCGTCGAGGAATTGTCAGGTCTGGGAACCAGACTTATGAGCATGGACGATAGTGTATAGACGTGAAAGGGCGCTGTCTAGATTTCACGTTGTGTATAATTCCGAAAGCTTCAAATATTTGAAAATACTGTAGTGATTTTTTCAAAATATAAAAAAGAAATTGGGAGGGACGGGACCCCTTAAACCTTGAAAAACTCCCAGAAACCTTTTTGAGGAAGTATGAATCTCCAGATAATTAAAGTCAAGTACGTCATAGTCTGAAAAGAATGAACCATGTGAACAGATCGAAATTTGATCGAATGAGGGCGCTAGTACACCTAAGGCAGAGACACATGTGATAATCACATAATTCATCGGTTGACTACTTTAGGTTTGTATATATTGGTGGCGTTTGAGTGACGTTATTAGTGGGATAAATCACAGGAGGTACCTCGAAAGTTCTGCAGCAGCCTTTTTTTTGGTTTGGTCATCCATTCCCTTTCAAAAATTCGCAAACATCTTGAACACAAAAAGGAGCATCCAATTTACGTCAACACAAAATATAAGTTGAAAATTAAGACCACCATGCACACGATAAAAATCCTTCGCCTTTTGGAGTGGCCAATCAGGCCAAGGAAAACTTGTAAAGATCCACGGGGTAATAAACAAGAGTGTCAGAGAGAACTCTGGGGTGAAGCTGGAAAGAAGACAGTTTTAACGAAGAATGATCATGATTCTTATTGAATATTAGTAGACGTTTGGGGTCATTCATAAAGTACATAGGCACGGAAAGGAGGGGGGGGGGTGTTATCATTGCGCTCACCATTGCAAATCATAATTTATGCGCATGTAACGACATTTTCGATTAAAAACAAATACGCTCCATACAACACAATGTTTCATGCAACATTTTTAATCTACGATAACTAAGGAGTAAAGTGAGTACATGTTTCATGCAAGATAACGAAAAAGTAAATAATCAAAATCAAACCAACACAAACAAACCAACAAGCCTAAAAATAGGAAAAATGTAAAATAATCAATTAAGTTAAAACATTTTGAAACTATTTTGCTAGACTGCAATCGAGGATAATGGTGAAATGAAAAAATATAAAGTTCAGACTTTCAAATCTTAAAGAATTCACTTCGACATTTTTTTGTCATCATCTCAGTTGTAATTTGTTGGTGGGAACGTTAAGCACCGGAAACTAACGTTAATGGTTATGAATCCCGTTTCAAAAAAATCAAGTTTAGTTTAGTCTGTGTCATAATTCAATTATCCGGTTTGTTTTATTTTACTTAAGCAATTAGTTTTTAATTTGTCCATCAACATCTGAGATTTGGGTTTTCTTTTCTTTGACAGCAAAATTAACTTTAACAAATCTCCACTACCATTACGTAAAAATTAACCAGAAGTTTAACATTAAACGGCAAAATAGACGCATTAAAGGGAAACTGGGTCCTGGAACACCCCAATTAGGCTACAAAACGCGCTTTGAACCAGACGATGTGAATCGGAAAGAACATTTAAAAGTAGGATATAAACATCCACACAACTATTCTTTCAAAACTGGGCGTTTTGTGCTATTCCTGTATTATGCGTGCGAGAACGAATTTCGGGGTCCACTTTTGCAACCCCATAAATTCGAACTGTTTGGATGCTAGTTGTGATTTCATTCGTTGAGTTCTCGCCTTTTGCGGACGTTGAAGAACCTCTTTTTTGCATTGGTGATTGGTCACCCTGTTTCCGAGACACACAACGTGTATATCGTACACTGAGAACGACACGAAAAACGTATTCGTACTCCGTTGTGTCTGATGTAAACAAGCGGTTTTTTCCCGTCTTCTCTCGGGAACGGTAAGACATAAGGTTGGTTTCCTTTCAACCAGAAGTTTGAAATAGGCTAAATAAACAATCCAAAACAAGAAATTTTCGGGGATTTCAGGACCTAGTGCCCCTTTAAACTTGAATTATGGGAACGATTTGAGTTTCACCTTGAAATTTCAACCGTTCAGTTTTTAGACCGATACATGTTGTGGCACCAGGTAATTAGTTCACTGATGCTTATGATCTTCGTCCATGTATCCTTCTCAATACTAACCTTGACAACTGGTAAAACAAACACATAATGCTAAACACCAAATGTTAAACTTGAAAGCATGCAGGTTCGTAAACGTTGAAGCCACGAAGATGCAAAGTGGGTTATTGAAATCCAGCTGTTTATCTTTGAAGTGATACTGTTTGCGAGTGTCCGTTTGGTAAGACTGTCTGGTGATCATAACCGCTTGGTATCGGCTTGGTATAGATTGTGACTGAAGACTTCAGGTGTGATGTTCTCACGCATCGCCGTGGTCGCCCATTGTGGTGTCGACTGTCGATTTACTTTGTAACTGCCAGCTTACAGAAGAAGGACTTCTCGCCTCCACACGCTTTGTCTTCCCATTGGCCACCGTTATCCCGCATCATCTCAACACAGTCCCTATTACTACCGTAGCCGCCGGGTTCGTTATCGCTCCATCCGGTGTAGGTGATCTCTGTCAAATCCGTCCAGGAGAAGTACCCTTCATTTACCAAGTCATTATAGCCGATCCACAGGCCGCCTTCTGTCGTTCCACGGACCGACTCCCACATCGTGAAGAGCAGATTATTCTCATCTCTGCTGGCTATGGACGCCAGGTGAGCCTGACCGACTTGAGTGAACTGCTGGCAGTGCCTCTCAGCTTCAGCGAAGGGTTTGCCAGTGCCGAAGTAGCGGTAGCAGTTGTCATTGTAGAAAGTCCACATCGGTGGACACTTGGCGCAGTCAGGTTGACATGCTGCAGCAGCCAAACCCACCAACAGGACGAAGCACACGACTCGCATGAAAGCCATGATGTTTACAAGTCGTTTCCCTACACGCTGGACTGAATGTCACAACTTGAAGCCAAATTGCAGTTGCAGAGTGAGACACCGCTTATAATTCACGCCTATGATACACATTACTCGGACACTCTCGATAGAAGTGACATTTAATTGAATGTACACGAACCATCGGTACCGATGGTTCGTGTACAAACCAGAATGAGCCAACAAGACAACAGCGCCGATGGTTTGTGCACTGACAGATACAACCAATGAGAGAGCATACAATCACTGGTGGTCATCGGCCCAGTGACCTTGCCTAGCTCAGCTATCAGTGAGATTTACGTAACGTTGCGTAACAAAGTGTATGTGGGGAAACTGTGGTCAGGGCCCTGGCCCTGCACAAGGCCATGCATGTGCATGCTATCTTAATATGTTAATGTAACGTACACTTTGTACAGTTGAAACCTTATATTAATTGCTTCTATTTCCAGACATTAAGGTTTGCTGCATGCACTATAATAATACTTGGACATGGTTGTATAGCAAGGACCTATAGTTGTACCATGGAGGAAGGAATAGAAAAATACAACTTGGAAAACGATAATCTAAACGAGAATATGCTGAAATGTAGCGCCCACTGAGAAAGAGAACTGGAGTTGTAATACATGAATGTCAACCGTGCAGACAAGTTCTGGGAGAGAATATTCAACCGACGGCGAGATTACTTACACCATGGAGGAAGGAACACCTCCATGCTTACACAAGCTAAAACTGTAAAAGATTTAATGTTTTCATCTTCCTTGCTCTATGGTTATTCCAAATGGTCCGGCCGTGATTATTTTAATTAATCTGTTATTACTGGTCATTAATTTTTGTCAAACCTGTTTTATAAACCAACAAACAATAAATTGTTGTTCTTTGCATTTTAACTGGACTGGTGGTATTACCATTAAATCCCATATTCAAGGCATAAATAGATATTTGTTGATGTATGATGTAACATAGCATGGCGCCGCCACTGACGTGGTGTACTTTGCTTGTTCGTCTGTCGCGCTATCTAGAGCAACAGTTTTGTACTGAACTTTTCACAAAAACCGGTATAATTTCATCGAGTTCTAAACACTCCCGTTCCTAAATCACGAGTTAATCCGATTCCTGTTACAAAGTTACAACAAAACATTATTTCGACATGATTTTCCTATTTTATTGCAAAGTGCATGGGTAAACCCTTTGAAAATATCCCCCCAAAAAGAGGAAATAATTTTCTGACAAACTTCTAGTTGGGTATATAATAATTGTTTATCAGATTTTATCAACTTTACAGAATTCTTCAATGGAATTTTCCGATATTTATTCAAGTGCGCCACGTTAGGGAACATTCAGCCGTTTGTGTGCCCAATTTCCGGATCCCAACCAATTTCGGAATATAATCTCATGACACCGAAATAGTTTACAGAGGTATAAACCGCCGCAGTAATAAGGTGTAAGTACCAGTATTTCACGGACTGAATTTGAAGTTTATCAACAAATAAGTTTGGCAACACTACATTAGGAAAGTCAAGGTAAACGTCGAAGTGTGCCAAGTTAGGAAACACCACTATGTAATATATTAAGGAATTGATAGGGTACTGGTTTAAAGAAATATATTTATAGACTTTGAGCGCATTATTTTTAAATTAGAGATGAAGGAAGGGTATTTCCAAAAAGCAGAGCTTGTCGAGTAGGAATCCCCTATAACATGAATTAATACATACATTTAATGAAAAAAGCAATTGCAAACAATTAAACATGTAAGCTGTACATGCCCCCCCCCCTCCACCAAAAGCAGTTCCTTTGCGCCACCATATTCCACGGAGCACACTTTCATGATATAATTTGGAAATGTTGATACTGATTTCCGGGGCGGGGCAGATACGTGTTCCCTCACGTCCCCCTCATTTTGGCGACGGATAAACCTAACCCAGCGTAGTTTTTACTTTTGATGTAACGAAGGAAAAATCCAAAATGTGGGTTTTTTTACCCTAAAAGAGCCGGGGGCGGAATTCGCCACCCCCTCGACATTTTCCGCGATAGCCTTTAAAACAATTTTTTTCGCAACCTGAGCTGTTATGACTTTTAAGCCTCGAGCCTTGCACATCTTTTGACAACAAAAAAATATAAAAATCAGACCAGGGGTTGTTGCGCAGCGAAAAATTTTCCGGCGCCATGCGAATTTTCCCATATACGCAGCGTACACAAACCAGAATAATCATTCGTACATATGAATATTAATTAGCCATAATTCCAGAACCCTTTGTGCTATAATCATGAAATTTCTTGGGTATATTTATGAAGAGTTGCTCTATGCATTTTCTTCGTCACTCGAGGGAGGGGGCGTGAATTTGCAGCATGTTAGTGCCAAGAGAAGAAAGGGGTGCGGGAAGGCAAAATAGGGGTGCGAGCGTGAATTTGCAGCATGTTAGTGCCAAGAGAAGAATAATCATTCGTACATATGAATAATTAATTAGCCATAATTCCAGAACCCTTTGCCCTATAATCATGAAATTTCTTGGGTATATTTATGAAGAGTTGCTCTATGCATTTTCTTCGTCACTCGAGGGAGGGGGCGTGAATTTGCAGCATGTTAGTGCCAAGAGAAGAAAGGGGTGCGGGAAGGCAAAATAGGGGTGCGGGCGTGAATTTGCAGCATGTTAGTGCCAAGAGAAGAATAATCATTCGTACATATGAATAATTAATTAGCCATAATTCCAGAACCCTTTGCCCTATTATCATGAAATTTCTTGGGTATATTTATGAAGAGTTGCTCTATGCATTTTCTTCATCACTCGGGGAGGGGGCGTGAATTTGCAGCATGTTAGTGCATAGAGAAGAAAGGGGTGCGGGAAGGCAAAATAGGGGTGCGGGCGTGAATTTGCAGCATGTTAGTGCCAAGAGAAGAATAATCATTCGTACATATGAATAATTAATTAGCCATAATTCCAGAACCCTTTGCCCTATAATCATGAAATTTCTTGGGTATATTTATGAATAGTTGCTCTATGCATTTTCTTCGTCACTCGGGGAGGGGGCGTGAATTTGCAGCATGTTAGTGCAAAGAGAGGAAAGGGGTGCGGGAAGGCAAAATAGGGGTCCGGACGTGAATTTGCAGCATGTTAGTGCCAAGAGAAGAATAATCATTCGTACATATGAATATTAATTAGCCATAATTCCAGAACCCTTTGCCCTATAATCATGAAATTTCTTGGGTATATTTATGAAGAGTTGCTCTATGTATTTTTTTCGTCACTCGGGGGAGGGGGCGTGAATTTGCAGCATGTTAGTGCCAAGAGAAGAAAGGGGTGCGGGAAGGCAAAATAGGGGTGCGAGCGTGAATTTGCAGCATGTTAGTGCCAAGAGAAGAATAATCATTCGTACATATGAATAATTAATTAGCCATAATCCCAGAACCCTTTGCCCTATAATCATGAAATTTCTTGGGTATATTTATGAAGAGTTGCTCTATGCATTTTCTTCGTCACTCGGGGAGGGGGCGTGAATTTGCAGCATGTTAGTGCAAAGAGAGGAAAGGGGTGCGGGAAGGCAAAATAGGGGTGCTGGCGTGAATTTGCAGCATGTTAGTGCCAAGAGAAGAATAATCATTCGTACATATGAATAATTAATAAGCCATAATTCCAGAACCCTTTGCCCTATAATCATGAAATTTCTTGGGTATATTTATGAAGAGTTGCTCTATTCATTTTCTTCGTCACTCGGGGGGGGGGGGGAGGGGGCGTGAATTTGCAGCATGTTAGTGCCAAGAGAAGAAAGGGGTGCGGGAAGGCAAAATAGGGGTGCGAGCGTGAATTTGCAGCATGTTAGTGCCAAGAGAAGAATAATCATTCGTACATATGAATAATTAATTAGCCATAATTCCAGAACCCTTTGCCCTATAATCATGAAATTTCTTGGGTATATTTATGAAGAGTTGCTCTATGCATTTTCCTCGTCACTCGGGGAGTGGGCGTGAATTTGCAGCATGTTAGTGCATAGAGAGGAAAGGGTGCGGGAAGGCAAAATAGGGGTGCGGGCGTGAATTTGCAGCATATGTTAGTGCCAAGAGAAGAATAATCATTCGTACATATGAATATTAATTGGCCATAATTCCAGAACCCTTTGCCCTATAATCATGAAATTTCTTGGGTATATTTATAAAGAGTTGCTCTATGCATTTTCTTCGTCACTCGGGGAAGGGGCGTGAATTTGCAGCATGTTAGTGCATAGAGAAGAAAGGGTGCGGGAAGGCAAAATAGGGGTGCGGGCGTGAATTTGCAGCATGTTAGTGCCAAGAGAAGAATAATCATTCGTACATATGAATATTAATTAGCCATAATTCCAGAACCCTTTGCCCTATAATCATGAAATTTCTTGGGTATATTTATGAAGAGTTGCTCTATGCATTTTCTTCGTCACTCGGGGGAGGGGGCGTGAATTTGCAGCATGTTAGTGCAAAGAGAAGAAAGGGGTGCGGGAAGGCAAAATAGGGGTGCTGGCGTGAATTTGCAGCATGTTAGTGCCAAGAGAAGAATAATCATTCGTACATATGAATAATTAATAAGCCATAATTCCAGAACCCTTTGCCCTATAATCATGAAATTTCTTGGGTATATTTATGAAGAGTTGCTCTATTCATTTTCTTCGTCACTCGGGGGGGGGGGGAGGGGGCGTGAATTTGCAGCATGTTAGTGCCAAGAGAAGAAAGGGGTGCGGGAAGGCAAAATAGGGGTGCGAGCGTGAATTTGCAGCATGTTAGTGCCAAGAGAAGAATAATCATTCGTACATATGAATAATTAATTAGCCATAATTCCAGAACCCTTTGCCCTATAATCATGAAATTTCTTGGGTATATTTATGAAGAGTTGCTCTATGCATTTTCCTCGTCACTCGGGGAGTGGGCGTGAATTTGCAGCATGTTAGTGCATAGAGAGGAAAGGGTGCGGGAAGGCAAAATAGGGGTGCGGGCGTGAATTTGCAGCATATGTTAGTGCCAAGAGAAGAATAATCATTCGTACATATGAATATTAATTGGCCATAATTCCAGAACCCTTTGCCCTATAATCATGAAATTTCTTGGGTATATTTATAAAGAGTTGCTCTATGCATTTTCTTCGTCACTCGGGGAAGGGGCGTGAATTTGCAGCATGTTAGTGCATAGAGAAGAAAGGGTGCGGGAAGGCAAAATAGGGGTGCGGGCGTGAATTTGCAGCATGTTAGTGCCAAGAGAAGAATAATCATTCGTACATATGAATATTAATTAGCCATAATTCCAGAACCCTTTGCCCTATAATCATGAAATTTCTTGGGTATAT